ATAAACTGTAATATTCCTACTAGAAATTAGTTCAGGGAACTCGAATTATGATTAGATCCGGATCAGATTTTTCGTAATACAGCCATCTGATCAAGGGATCAGTGCCTTGATCTAATCAGAAACTGATGAGCGTAGAGTATCCTTTCCCTTGATCCGGCTTTCTGATCAGTTTCTGATCAAAGTACAATACTCTGTTGCGATATTCTTTTGATGTCACCAATTGTGGAGCGATAAAAGAGGTGAGAGTATTGGAAAAATGTTTAAGAGGGATTAGAATTGAATGTCAATAAGATGAAGATTATGGAAAAAGGTGAGGTTAGGTTAGGTTAAGTTATAAAAGAGATGAGAATATTGGAAAAGTATTTAAGGATTAGAATTGAATGTCAATAAGACGAAGATTATATAAATGGGTGAAGTTAGAAAAAATTAAAAAATATAATTAGTTGGGATATATACTAGGATAAAATAATATGAATAACGTACATATAGATATGCAAATAGGAAGGCTAACGCATTATTAGGGAGGATATAGGAAAAAGGTTATAGATCAACGTAGTAAATGAGTAAATTGCAAGACAACAAAATGGCGATGTTTCTGAACATAATGCGCATGCGTAGAAATGCATGTGAGGTTAATAATTCACCACCAAATAGAAATAAATCTTCTGTAATTCTTCAATCATTTCAATAAATCTTTATAATTCCCAATAAATCCTTGCTTTTCTGAATAAATCCCCTTAATTCCTCAGTATAAAAAGTAAATCCCTAAAACTCATAGAATTCCGACAAGGTGTACACCATAAATTCCCTGCGGCTTCCCCCTCGTCTAGTTACTAAATGCAATTTAAATATTTAGAAGTCTGTAGCGAAAAGATAAATACTTATTACAATCAATGTTAATTGATTTGTTTATGAGCTACCAAACGTCCTTCAGCAAATGAAATTTTATGTCCCAGACTTTATATCGGTTTAAGCATCTACTAACAATAAAACAAAAATGTTAATGGCCATTTTAATCGAACTTTCAAGCCTCATTAATTATGTTATCGATCTAGTTACGTGGACATGGTTCAAGGCGTTTTATGCACCTTGTTGGTTCTTTTAAATACTAATTCTTAATTTCTTTTTCAATGTAAATAAAAGTGTAATATTATAGTTAAATGTGTACCTACCATAACTTTTAGCACAATAAAACAATTTTTAATGTTAATCTATGTGACCTTTTCGTATTTGTGTTTGAATTAAAAGAAAATGTTTTGTTATAAAATATATTTAGCACATTGGTACAGTACATTTTTCGAATTTCATTTTTAAAAAACGTAGTTATATTAAGTGCGTTTTAGCGCCTCATCATTCGGTTCTAAAAATACGTTTTAATCGCTGCAGGGGCATTACTATATGCTTGAAGCGTTTAAAACTGGAAAGTTAATTATAATTGTTATGAGTACGAGCAGGAGGTAAATGAAAGGCTAAATTTAAACGTTGTTTGCCAAATAAATGAGATATGTTTTAAGTTATATAACTTTCTTGCGTTGCAGACTCTATTTCTTATCTTAGAAGACAACTTAATATTTCTTTTTATACATTCAGAGCGTTTCTTATCCTTTTTTTATATGTAGGTATTACGTTCTTATTAAACTTTAAAAGACACATATTAAGAAAATGTTTACCTAAACTTGTACTAAAAGAAAACATAGTCAGAGTTAAAAAAAAAAAAACAGTTTTCTATAAAATTTGTGAAACAAGCGTGTGTTCATATGTTTTAAAGACTTTTTTACGTTTATTGAACACATGTTTTAAACAAGTTTTTCTTATCGTAGCATATTGACGTCATTAACTAATTGTGTTTTTAACAATGTTTAAACACTGTTTTAAACATACCAATCCTGTAAGATATCCTTTTTATTTCATAAGCCGAAGGAATTTAAAGAAAGTTTAATATGCTCTTTTTTGATTTTGAACACTTTAATTTAATATTTTATTTATANACGTCACTAACTAATTGTGTTTTTAACAATGTTTAAACACTGTTTTAAACATACCAATCCTGTAAGATATCCTTTTTATTTCATAAGCCGAAGGAATTTAAAGAAAGTTTAATATGCTCTTTTTTGATTTTGAACACTTTAATTTAATATTTTATTTATATTGTATTTTAAAACACTTTGTTTTGAACATACCTACGCCGACTATATAGTTAAGCGGAACTGAGTAACTTGTAAATCGGAAACTTAAGAATTATTAGTAAAGTCTTAGTTCTAGAAAAAATTGACAGTAAAGACTTTCTTCTTTAAGGTATATCCCATCCCCATCGTGCACTATTCACTTTAACAACAATTTCAATACGAAAAATCAGTTTGTAGATGAAGCGTGTATTATTGTACTATAGCTGTTTAGTAGGTGCTTTTCTTATTCCCTAAAACGAATGTGATCATCATCATCATAAGGTCATCAGTACTAAGACTGGTTGGACACGTACCTCCACTTATTTCTATCCTGAGCTAAACTTCGCATTTCCCTAAAACTAGAACAGCCCACATCCTTAACTATCTGCGAAGAGTAATCTAATCTAGGTCTACCTCTACCCCTCCTAACTCCTGTTTCTGCCTCTAATATGTCTCTGACTAGACCTTCATGCCTGAGAAGGTGTCCTACCAACCTATCTCGCCTATTTTTTATTGACTTCCATAGAGTCCTCTGTTCTCCTATTCTTTCCAATACCTCTTCATTTCTAACCTTTTCTACCCACGATATCCTCATCATCCGCCTATAACACCACATTTCGAACGCTTCTAACCTTTTCTTTTCCGCCGCTCCCACTGTCCATGTTTCGCACCCGTACAACGCCGTGCTCCAAACATACACCTTTAACAACCTTTTTCGAATTTCTAAATTAACCGTTCGCGAGCATAGAAGTGACTTCTTTTTATTAAAGGCGACACGACCCTGCGCTATCCTCTGCTTTATATCCCTACTACTCCTTCCATCCTCACTTATCTGACTTCCTAGGTATCTAAAATCAGCCACTTCTTCTAATTTTTCGTCTCCTATCTTTATATTCGCTCTTTCCCTACTTTTTCTTCCCTTGCATATCAGTATTTTAGTTTTACTTTTATTTATTTTCATACAGTACTGATCTGTCAGTACCGCTTCCATTTTATTTAAAGCTATCTCTAGGTCCTCCTTGCTAGATGCTAATACTGCTATATCATCTGCAAATCTAAGCATACTAATCTTACGAATGTGATAGATAGCAAAAATACATTAATTTCCTTGGCATACTTGGAAAAGTAACTTTTTATCAATGCGGCATAAATGCCCCAAATTTCATTAAAAAGACAGTTTCAGGGCAAATTGCCAGCTGTTTCAACGACGAATTTTCAAGATACGATATATAAATATTAGGTACAACGTACAATCAATATTATTCCTTCCGAGAGCATGTTCAGTCAAGGAAAAATTAATAAATGTTTGTGTTGGTCACTTTTTTAAATCAGTTTGATATGCACTCAATTATGAGCTTGCAAACTTTTCATAATTTCTATTAAGGTTTACATTGAATTTTTCCATATCGATGTTTTCTGATAAATACTTATCTTACAGTGACCTATAAAAGACATCTATAGCGCAGATGTTGTAATGCCCTTGAATTTTTTCCATTTAACATCAAAATATAATGTCAAGAACCTACCTAATGTCAGACATCGTCAATGAGTAAAGTTATTCAGAATTATTAGCTATTCCTTAAATGCCTTTGTCTATTTACTCTTAATATTCTTGTTTCTAATGTTTATTGTTTTTTATAATTATTTTATAAAATAAAGTCTATTTGTCTCTTTCTCTATTCATGTGCTAACTGCCTTTCCAATATTGTCTTAATCTACATATACATCTAAGCATATTATTTAAATGCATGTATACTATAATTTTTTTAATGGAAAAATTGTAAGAACTGAAATATTTATTCAGATGCATTATAAGGTTTTTGGATTTTCACTAACATTTTTTCGCCAACCCTTGACTTCATCATATTTGTGACAAGTAGGTTACATCATCATCATCACAAGGTCGTCAATCCTAAGACTGGTTGGACACTCACTTCCACTCTTTCCTATCTTACTTAAGCTAACCTTCGCAATTCCCTAAAACTAGAAACTATTTGCGTACCGTATTCTAAACTAGGTCTACATCTACCCCTCCTAACTCCTGTTTCTGCTTCTAATATGTCTCTGACTAGACCTTCATTCCTGAGAAGGTGTACCCTACCAACCTATATCGCTTTCCAAAGAATCCTCTGTTCTCCTATTCTTTCTAATACCTCTTCATTTTTAACCTTCTTTATCCTCATCATTCGCCTATAACACCACATTTCCAACGTTTCTAACCTTTTCTTTTCCGCCGCGCGCACTATCCATGTTTTGCACCCATACAGCGCCGCGCTCCAAACATACAATTTTAACAACCTTTTTCGAATTTCTAAATTAACCGTTCGCGAGCATATAAGTGACTTATTTTTATTGAAGGCGACTCAACCCTACGCTATCCTCTGATATATATCCGTACTACTCCTTCCGTCCTGACTTATCTGACTTCTTAGTTACCTAAAATCGACCACTTCTTCTAACTTTATGTCTCCTGTCTTTATATTCGCTCTTTCCCTGCTCTTTCATCCCTTGCATATCAGTATTTTTGTTTTACAAAACAAATAAAAACCGTTAATGAAAATTTTTAATCGCAAGTAGTTACTGTCGATTTTCATCAAATAAAAATTCAACTCAATCAATTAGGTATTTAAATATTTATTTTTTTTTGTAAGTGTAGTGGTTTATGTTTCAAAAACTCTACAATTGTTTCTACTGAACAGACTACCTTTGTCAAGAGTAACAATAAACCAAAACATTTCTTGAACACGCAGTTTGTAAATGTATAGGTACTTACATGTAAATATACGCACCTTGTAACAATAATGATGAATTTTTTAAATTCCTCTTTTGTTTCAGATTTAACACAAATAAGGATGGGTACCTAACTTTACCAGAATTAAAACGAATGATGGAGATTTTGGGAGCCCCGCAAACTCATGTGGCATTAAAAGAAATGATTTCTGAAGTAGACGAAGATGGAGATGGTAGATTATGTTTTAGGGAATTTTTGCTGGTTTACAGAAAAGCAAAAGCCGGGGAGTTGGATTCCGACTCGGGTCTTGGACAAATGGCAAAACTTACGGAAATCAATGTTGATCAAGTTGGTGTTAATGGAGCTAAGGAATTTTTTGAAGCTAAGGTAAATTGACTCCTTTAAAAAGAAACTTCATACAATAAATAATATGTCAGTGGGTATTTGAAAACTAAAAGCTAAGATATGAATTCCGATGTACTTTGAAATGCTGATTCCGAATCTGACTTTAGAATTGCCACAGCACGTCTGAATTAATGAAATATTCTAATTTCAAATTCAAAAAAATTCAGTTTTTACACCTTTTGAGTGCATTAACTACGTGAAATTAAAGGAGAAAATAGCCGAGAGGATAGATTTCCGACTCATATTTTAATCTCGAATTAGAATCTCGCTTTAAATTTGCCCCATCACGTTAAGATTTTGAAATGTCTTTACTTAAAAATTTCAATGGTGTTAATTTTGCTTAAGTATTAGGTTTTGAGGTTACAATATGCTTCTCGAAATTTAACGTGCTAGAGCTTTACTGGAGCCATATTATTTAAGTACACCTTCACAAATTCATCTTAAATGATCGCTTTATTATTTCCTGATTCATTCTGTACTACTAATATGAGTTGAAAACAGAAAATACAAAGACGTTTTGGATGTATTTTTCAAAGACGAACTCAAATCTGACATCAAAATCTCCCTAAAATACTGATATTTTCAAATATCGCATTCTCAAATCCAAACAACCCAAATTAGAAAAAATTGAATTTTGGAGTTAAACTATCTCAAAATCTTGATGTGCTAGAGCAATCACGTAATCAGATTCTAATGCAACGATAAAAGATACCTCAGAAATTACCAGTACGACCTACGCAATAATAATCGTCTCAAAAAGAATAAAGTTATATTTCTTTACTGTAGTTCTTAGGCTTTCACAGCCGACATATATCAATGCGGTGTTCTTCCGGGCTTTTTGGCCGTGTTCCGTGAAATTTTACTTTTCCAAACGTTTCGCCGTTCCTTGCTGGCGGCATCTTCAGAGGTGATGCTGTGTTTTCTTTCCGGGCTTTTTGACCGTGGTCCGTGGAATTTTACATCGTTACATTTCTTTAGTTTTGATATTGTTATATATAAAAAGTTTAACATGCTGAGGTAATTCTAAGGATAAATTTGAACTCGGCATCGTGACCAGTTAGTTAAGGAAAGTAGTTGAAACAATTAAATATGAACTGGTATCGATACATAAATTCAGTCTGACCACATTTGGGAATGAGAAGATTGTACATAAAATAATTCGATACATTTTTTTATAGATTGAAGAAATCGCAAAAAAAAGTAAATTTGAAAGTGAAATAATCCAAGAACAAGAAGAACGAAAACGTTTAGAAATAGAGAAGGCAAACAGGAAACAGGAGTTTCTTCAAAAAGCTGCAATTTTTAATAAATAATCGTAAAATCATTATTTTAATTTTTTAATGTGACTGTGTTTATATATACCTATGTTGTACCTAAAATTTAAATATTGTATGTAAAATTTTACACTTTACCTGTTTTACCGTTAATTTAAGAATATTTAAAATGTATAATATCGTTTCATCGTTAATTTAAGTAATTACTTCATTCATTATGTATGTATCTAGTGTTTTTTTAATGATTGTATAAAGTTTAGTACTTAAAATCGCTGTTCTATTTTTAAGCTTACAGTAGATATTACCAAAGTGACATTTTAATAAATATATATATATAAGTTGAGACCTTAATAATTTTTTGTCTGTACTTAACACCAAACAAAACAATACTGAATGAAAATAAATAACAGTAAAACAAAAATACTGATATTCAAGGGAAGAAAAAGTAGGGAAACAACGAATATAAAGATAGGAAACGAAAAACTACAAGAAGTGGCCGATTTTAGGTATCTAGGAAGTCAGATAGGTCAAGACGGAAGAAGTACTAGGGATATGAAGCAGAGGATAGCGCAAGGTCGAGTCGCCTTCAATAAAAAGAAGTCACTTCTGTGCTCCCGAACGGTTAATTTAGAAATTCGAAAAAGGTTGTTAAAGGTGTATGTTTGGAGCGCGGCCCTGTACAGGTGCGAAATATAGACAGTGGGCGCGGCAGAAAATAAAAGGTTAGAAGCGTTCAAAATGTGGCGTTACCAGCGAATGATGAGGATACTGTGGATAGAGAAGGATAAGGAGGTATCAGAAAGAATAGAAGAACAGAGAACTCTATGGAAGTCAATAAGAAATAGGCGAGATAGGTTAGTAGGACACCTTCTCAGGCATGAAGTCTTAGGACTGACGACCTTATGATGATGATGATGACTTCATGCCTGACATTTACTTTTCAAAAGAATTAAGCAACCATTTCTTTACAATCAATATATACCCTTTACTAAAATCAAATTAAATGTATCGGTATTCTACTTTCATTACAACAGTGCGCGACGATTGATCACAATGGTAAACGCATGCACGCGTTTCTATTGCGCGAAAAAGTTTTGAGTTCTTAGAAGCGAGTATTTTGCAAGTATTTACTGTGGTAAGTTACATGAAATAAAAAGTGCATGAGTAGGTGTAGTTCATCTTGGCTCTATCGGAGTAACTAAAAATATAGATTCGCGTAGAGCATCAGGCACCTCTAGTAGAAAAATTTATTCAAAGCTGCGCAAAAGTCAATCAATATCCCCAGTCATTAAAAATATATTGCTCTGATTTGTTGAAACCATTCTTTTATTAATTTTTAAAAACTTGTCGGAAAATTACCTACTACTTGTCGCTACTTATTTTCGGAATATCAATATACATCAATTTATCAATTCGTTTTAAGCATTACAAAATTCAAAATTGAAATGAACCACTCTTCAGCATGAAGTAAGATGAATATAATGTTTTTATTACAAACATAAACTTAAAGGTACAAAAGTTATGGAATTATCCTTTAATTCTTTTATGATGTGCAACAACTGTAAATAAAATAAAAAAGAAGTTCCTTCTATCTATTTAAACGAAATTTTCGAAAATGTAGAGCTTTTCCTTCGGTACGAACATCATTTAGGAGATATAAATAAAACAAAACTTAATTCCTTCTATTTTTATTTTTAATTTACTAATTCCCGAAGTACTGATCACAAAAACTAAAGATGCCTTTCGTAAGTGTAAAGACGATTGAATGTTAAACAAGATTTACATTAAACTTCATTTTCAAATTGGAAAATACACTATGGAAACAAACACTGTTAATTTAAAATGTATTGTAGTACATAAACTACATACAGCTTTTTTGATGTTTGGTGGAATACTGAAAAAATTAAAGGAATTCGAAGTTAAAAATTTGTATACGTACACTGATTAAAATATCCAATACAGATGTTACTTTTACCATTTAAGTTTAGAATATGCCTCTGAACTAACAATAAATGTCGTAAAAAACAGACTTAAGCGGATAGCTTACGGATGTATTAAGATGCGTTATATTTTTTTTCGCGCTTTTCTTCAATATAATTTTGCTAATATTGTATATAAAAAAAATCATGAGTACAATTCCTTTAAATTTTGATCATTGATTACTATACATCTATTAGAAAACCATGATGGCCGACAACTGCAACAATTAGAAAAGAATGATGGCCGACAAGTGTAACAATTAGAAAATAATGATGGCCGACAACTGCAACAATTAGAAAAAAATGATGGCCGACAACTGCAACAGTTAGAGAAAGAATGAGGGCCGATACTACGTCATAGTAGAGCAATAAAAATGGCCGGGGATAGCGGGAAGAACTAGTATAGGTAAATAAAATTAATTATTATTAAAGCTCGTAACTCAATGGAGTTTAAAAATCAAAACTGTTTAATTTGTACCTTAGAAATCACGAAATATATGATAGTTGTATAGTTGGTATAAATTAATCTTTGTTTTTTGACGCAAACATGTTTTTACTGCTTAAATTTGAAAGTAAATACGAAAACATAACACACCCAACTGCAAATACCCAATAAAATAATTAAGTTACCTAATTTGTTGTATATATAATGTATGTTTTAAGTTTATTCTTCTTTTAGTTCAAAATATAAAAACATATGTATGTATGTACGTATATATATATAATATGTACAATAGGTTTCCACAATTATTTTTCTTAAGATAAGTAAGTTCAGATTAAAATTGTAGGATCCAATGATGAATAAGTTATAAAATATAATAAATATTTACATGGTAAAATTACACACAGAATGATATATCACTTAACAGTTACCTCACACAGGCAATGAACTGCTCACACTTTTAGTAAACATTCTACCAAAGAAACTAATTCCTGTGGAACCTCCAGGAACACTAGATATAACAGTCCATAAAAGAGTAACTATTTGTGCTATTGCAAAAAGTACAGTAAATGGTGTACTCTGCAAATGTAAAGCACAATATAGCGTCCCAAATAGTGTAATATTGTATGCTACTGTAGAGTAAATACGTTCCCTAGAGAACATATGCTTTAGATGAGCAATGGGGCCCCATAAAAATGAAAAACTAAAAAATACAGTTTACAATCTGAATAGCAAAATCTACAAAACAATATTACCTTAAAATAAAAAATAAACTTCCTAATGTGAAGAGTAAAGAGAACTTCCTTGCTTTTAATAATAAAATTGGAATGTAAATTGCAGACAATGAAAAACATAAGATGCCCATAAATAAGCAAATTATAAATCCGGTTATTCGTTGAAATCTCGACTAGAAAATTAAGCTGATGAATTATATTTATTAATCTGGATGGTACCTTCTCTTACAAGTTTTGGACAACACTGCTTTTTCGTATCCTGATACCACGAATCTTCCTCATTGGGCTGATCTCTTTTAAACCAGTTTATAATTTTAGGAGTTTGTACTGTTGGTATTTGTAATTTAAAAGACTTTTTTTGATCACTTTGTAACAATAAATACTCATCTAAATCTTTTTTTAAATCAACCATTTTGTGGTTATGTTATCAATATGAGGATATGTCATGACATATGTCAATTAACGTTTGTCTCATTCGTCTCTGTCCGTTCTTATCATTATCATAGATACGGCCTCATTCCAGAAAGATATGTTTATAATAATATGACTTAACGAATCCTGGGAATCTGACACCCGATATAAATAATCCACTAATTCGCTTTTTACCAATCAATTGTGCATCGTTTGAGGGTTCTACATATGTAAATATCATAATCGTGCATCCATCAGTTCTGTTAACAAAAAGGAAAATTGTTTCGGCTGCAGGTGGAAATTAAATGTCAATTTATTCAAAAACTACTGAATATATGATAATTTAATTGATGCCAATTAATTGCGTGTCATTTGGGTTAGAAGAGTGATCTAATATTGAAAACGGAAGTTATCTTTATAACATTTATTAGTAATAATTGCATATAATACACAGACAAATGTTGCTATTTTTCATTGATATTACCAATATACATGCGTCATTGGTGAATCATAGATAATAAAATGGTTTTTAAAAGATTAGTATTATTTGTAGTCATCACTAATAAATAATATAAAAATAAACTCCGCTTGCCATAATGGCTCAATCTTCAGGAACAAATGACACGCAAACAATTGTCGTCAATTAAATTATCATATGTTCAGTAGTTTTTGAATAAATTGACATTTAATTTCCACTTGCACCCGAAACAGTTTTCGTTTTTTTAACAGTACTAATGAACGCACAGTTATGATACTTACATATTTAGAACCCGCAAATGATGCACAATTTATTGGTAAAGTTCGAATTAGTGAATTATTTATATCGGGTGACTGTTTCACATGACTGACGTAACGTTGTCATTTCTCCTCTATGGTAATGATCCCAATAAAAAAGAAGTGGTATTATAATAAATAAAAGAGTGCGTTCAAAGTAGAAATTGAAGCCTGTGGTAAATATATTATTAAAAAATAAAAAAAAGATTCAATCAACAGGAGACTGATTCTAGATATTTAAAACGGTTTAAAATCAGTCTCGCGTTAATAATGCTCACATTAAGAAGTGCCGGAACACGTTTCTTCAGCTACCAACCTTATAGTGGTAATTTGAGTGAGTTTCTCTTTTATTTCTTATTAAATGTTTGGTCATTTTTTACATTAGTTGACATTGGAATTGAGACATGAAGTTTAGTCAGGTAGGTAGTACTCACTAAGTAGAATCGTGTGGTAGCATTAATTCCGTGCGGAAACCAATGGAGCTTGAGATACAGGCTCCTAAAGTTATTTAATCGGAAGAAATTTCGATTGGTACGGCCCTGGCTGCAGCCCTTCGTCAGCTNAGTTATTTAATCGGAGGAAATTTCGATTGGTACGGCCCTGGCTGCAGCCCTTCGTCAGCTGTTCTCGCCAAATATGCATTGATGACGTCATTGTTTAGTTAGGTAGATGTATGACAGACTCGAGTTTGTTTAATGCCCCTGCCCGCCGAAGGCGGGCTGATACATTAGAATAATGTTAGGAAGATATGTTTTAGGACAAACGATGTTTGGCGGGAACAGCTGACGGAAGGCTGAAGCCAGGGCCGTACCTACCGGAATTTCCTCCGATTAAGAAAACTTTAAGGGCCTGTATCTCACTCACATTCATTTTTAAACAAATAATAAACAAAATTCTAGTAAATACTACTACACTACTTTACTTGGTGAGTACTACCTACCTGACTAAACTTCATGTCTCAATTCCAATGTCAACTAATGTAAAAAATTACCAAATGTTTAATTGACATAAATATTCTACTCTTAACAAATGCATCAATAAACACTCATTAAAAATATAAAATAAATTGTGTGTAACAGGGACGTACTGGTATGTTTAAAATCACCGTATGCCGTGATACGCAGTCGATGTACTGATGTCCTTATAACGCCATGGACAAAACAATTTTCTAAATTGAGACAAACCAGTTAGTGTAGAAAAAAACTTCAATGGAGTGCAAAGCAGTGTGTCAGCCTAGTGGAACGTACGTTATTTATCCATATCGTAAATTGGAGTTATCCTACATCTATAATTATTTCTTTTCGCAATTTATTATCTATACTTTCCAAAAGCAACGCTTCATCCTAATTATAATATTTAGTGAATTTTGATATTTTACTTGCTATTTGGTACGTGTATTTAATTTCATGTGATACTTATTTAATAGTGTACATAATATGTTTTTTTGCATTGAACTAGTCTTTTACAGTGCTTATGTTCTTACTGAATTCTACTGTTTATTATTGAATTATCACCTAGGATAATTTTGCGGTTAATGGTGAAAATACAGGCTGTAATATTTAAACTGAAAAAGGTTCACCATTGCTGTAACACGCTATGCACGTTATTTCACCAGGAAAGACTTAAATAATTATATCCGATATTTGAGGGATTTAATATTTTATTAATTGTTTAATTTTCGAATATGTAAGATGTTTATTTTGCTTAACAATAATACATTGTGCGTTATTTTATCATTCATCTGTGTGCAAGTCTCATGGAACGCACCCTGATTTATCCATAGCATGAGTTGATGTTATCCTGTATCTATGGTTATTTGTTTTGACAGATAAATTATTTCATAGTTGTATCTTATCAGGTGTCCATGATTATCTACGTCGTAATGCAATCTATGCTTTTACAGATACCCTGCCTGCTCTTCAATGGCTTTACGATAATTATAACGTTGACATTCTGTGATTTACTTGTTTGACATTTAGTTTTTGTTTTTCAGAATTATGTTCGGAAATGTTTAGAACATACTTCTACAGTATATAAAGCAATGGTACTGTTCTGGGGCCTCTTTCTATCATTCTAGAAATGTTTTTTATGAGTATAAAACCTGGAGTGAACACTGGATATAAGAAAGATTGTATGGTGATGAATAAGCCTGTGATCAGTATGGATACAAACAAATTATATGAAAAGGTACGATTTAAATTTGTTAAATGAAATTTTTTTTGCAATGGACTAATTTCCAACCAAGCAATATATAAAATAGTTTTTATATTTTACTTGTTTTTTTTTANGCCTCTTTTTATAGATTATTCAACAAATGAGAAGGAATCGCAATTGATTTTGGTGCTACTAAAACAACCCATTTTGATGTCTTCACCTTGCAATATTGTGCAGTTAATTTTGTTCCTGAGAATAGGAGGCAATTGGAAATTAATTTGGAAGCCACTGAAACAACAAATTTGCGCTGTGGCATCCCTCCTATATTTGGTTTACTCATCATACTGGTAGATTTTAGAACGGTACTTTCTACAGTTAATTAAGGTGAGAATACATGACATAATTTATTAATTTGTAATGGCATTTCTTTTAACAGTTATCTATTATGTACGGTATAAATTGATGTTATGTCGTATGTATAGTATTTCTTTTAGATATCTATTGACCACAGAATCTATGGTATTTCGTTGAAAGTTTATCTACTGTTTACTGTTCAAGTCGTGCATCTGTGGAATGTTCATAATTTTTTGTTGTGTATTGACATCACCCCTCTATGATTATTTCACATTTATCTGTCAAACGTAATATGTCATGTATAGTTGAGGCTTGTCGCCATCTTATATTTCAGCTGCTTTACTTGGTTTTTGGTACTTGCTTTTAGGTGTGATTGATCTCATCCTAAATTAATAGTGCAATTAATATATTTTTTGTTAATTTCTGCAGATCGTCCAACAAATGAGAGAGCGTTTACGTTCGATTTGGTCGTACTGGAACAACCAATGCCTACATGGGTGTGGTCTTTTGTAAATCATATTCTTGATTTGCTGTTTTCGCCTTCACTTTGCAACATAATAATAATAAGTCGATTAAAAATATCGTATTACAATCTGTCAACTATTGTATAGGTACTCATATCACCATAAAGGAACTCACTTATGCATTTACATTTTAACGTTCTGTTATTACATTATTTGCTATCGAGCCGAAGTTAATTATACATTTAAATATTGTTTTGATTGTTTAACAGAAATATTACACAAGCTTTGAACTTCATGTGTAGTTGGTCTGTGATTGGAACTGTTCGCGTTTCACCCAGCATTAAGCAGTATCCTTTTATTCACTAGATGCAGAAACAACAAGGGTAAGTGACAATCTTTTAATTTATAAGATAAAATGAAAAGGCTTGGCAAAGTGAAAAATATTTTGCTTAATGGTTGTTAATTTTATTTGGAAACAGTTTTATTGTCATTGTAAAAGCATTGTTTATTAAAAAAGAAAAGCAAGCTCTAATGTATATTTGAGGTAATTTATTAGCACGTTTTATATTCATGTGAACATTGGAATAAACTAATTAAAAGTCAGGATCAATAGTATATTTGTGTGCTGTTAAATTTTTAATTTTTCTTCTTTTTTGCTCTACTAAAAACGTATAAGTGTTAATGTTAGTCGTAACATTTTTTCGTTTTGTCTGGCAGACCCAAATAATCATAAAATTGATTATTTTAATATTTTTTTTTTGTTGTGCAATAAGAAACGTTTAGGAGAATAGAAAAGAAGCTTTTATGAGAATTTTGGAAATACATAAGTTTTTAGGGAGCTTATTATAGACAGTTTTTAGCTTTTGCAATGAAATGCAGAGCGTGAATAATTGATAGTTTTACATGTAACGCATTTTTCCGTTAAAACGCACATTATTTGAAAATTTTCCTAGTTCATTCTGTTATCATCAATTTAAGAAATTAAATAAAATTTATGCATTTTTATAGGCGCGAAAACTGGTTTTGAATTACAATGTTTTAGCAATTATTAGTATGCAATAGCATTTACACTGGTGCATGTATGGTTGCATATGAGATGTATTCTACATTATTTTTCTTCGTTTTTTTAGTTTTTCCTTGCAGAAGTTTTCTCGGCGGTTCCATACTGTCACTGCTTAGTAATAAAACTGTCGACAATGCCGTAAATTTTTTAAATAATATTGCTTTTCCATGCTTTTTTAATAAATGAGAGTGTTGGTCCATGATTTATGAGACGTTAAAAATTGGATAACAATAAATAAAAACACATTTAAATGTTTAGTAAATTCTGTATCAGCAACATTTAGAAGTGTGTAAAGTAATTAAAATTGGAAGGTTAAAAACATTTTTCGAATTATGATATAGCTTATATGTATGTAAATTTTTATTGTTTATTTTTAATAATAGTAGTAATTTTTTAAAATTAATATTCACATTTAATTTGAGAATCGGAAGAAAAGGGATAAGGAATAAATATTTAAATTTTCCGCGTAACAGATGTCTATTTTACTTATAATTATATGCATCTATGGTACATCTTGTTTTCAAATAGAAACCACGCTACAACGCCATTTTAAAAGCAACAATTTTACTAATTTACTTGCTTTTTGTAAGTATTTTTATCCTATTACATTATTTATTTACTCCATGCAATAGTTAATTCGTTATTTCCATATTTTTACAGAATGAAGATAAAGGAGTGGAGAGATTGAAGTTCATTTTGATGCTACCGAAAAAACAAGTCGTCTCCTATGGTGTTTTAACTGTTAACTTTTCATCTTGGACGCTTTTGTATTAACTAATTAAGGTAAGCATACATGCAATTAATTAAGGTGAGCATACATGCTATATTGTGTATGTGCTATATTTATTTGATATTAACAGAGAATAAGGTTCAGCATTACTTTGACAATGTATTATGCACGTTATTTACTAGGAAGGTTAAATTAATTTCACAAAGATTTCATTGTAGAACATTAGAAGACCTCCAGATGCCATTAAATTAGGGAGCATTGTGTCAATTCTCAATTGCTCCAGAAAGTAGCTATACGTTTGGCCCTAAAACAAGCATGAAAATGCCATTTTTTCATTAGGAACAGAGACAGTGTGCTGTTACTGAAGAAATGATTTACGACAATAAACTGATAGGTCACAGTATCAATTAAAAATATTAAATAAGGTCCCAGAAAATTCCTTAGACATTTGTAATTTGCTCTAATAGACATTTTTTAAACAATATTTCAGAAATAGCAGATGCTAAACAGCAGGATTAATGTGGAACTGATCTTTTCATCAGTACGAACATTTCTGATTAACTTTAAAAGTGGTAATTAATTACTTTTTCTTGCCTCTTTTTATAGATTATTCAACAAATGAGAAGGAATCGCAATTGATTTTGGTGCTACTAAAACAACCCATTTTGATGTCTTCACCTTGCAATATTGTGCAGTTAATTTTGTTCCTGAGAATAGGAGGCAATTGGAAATTAATTTGGAAGCCACTGAAACAACAAATTTGCGCTGTGGCATCCCTCCTATATTTGGTTTACTCATCATACTGGTAGATTTTAGAACGGTACTTTCTACAGTTAATTAAGGTGAGAATACATGACATAATTTATTAATTTGTAATGGCATTTCTTTTAACAGTTATCTATTATGTACGGTATAAATTGATGTTATGTCGTATGTATAGTATTTCTTTTAGATATCTATTGACCACAGAATCTATGGTATTTCGTTGAAAGTTTATCTACTGTTTACTGTTCAAGTCGTGCATCTGTGGAATGTTCATAATTTTTTGTTGTGTATTGACATCACCCCTCTATGATTATTTCACATTTATCTGTCAAACGTAATATGTCATGTATAGTTGAGGCTTGTCGCCATCTTATATTTCAGCTGCTTTACTTGGTTTTTGGTACTTGCTTTTAGGTGTGATTGATCTCATCCTAAATTAATAGTGCAATTAATATATTTTTTGTTAATTTCTGCAGATCGTCCAACAAATGAGAGAGCGTTTACGTTCGATTTGGTCGTACTGGAACAACCAATGCCTACATGGGTGTGGTCTTTTGTAAATCATATTCTTGATTTGCTGTTTTCGCCTTCACTTTGCAACATTATGCAGTTAATTTTCAACCGACGAGTAAGAGCAACTGGAGGTTTTTTTGAATTCCACTGAAATAACAAATTTTCTGCGGTAATATTCCTCTTGGATTTGGTTTACTTTTCACACCTGCAAACTTTGGAATGTTACAGTCTACAGTTAACTAAGGTGAGAATACTTAATATAATTAATTTTAATTGCTCTTTATTAATCTGTTACCACCGTATCTGTTTCAGATCGACGTTGGAGAAGACAAAGATGACCCCGTAGTTGAAATAGTTCTTTATCTTGCATGCTCTATCTAGTAGAATTCATTAAGTTCATTTTATTCAAATTAATTTTTTATTTTGCATGTTTTGTTGTAGTTAATTTGAATTAGTTTTTATTTTGCATGCTTATTTTTGTTCATTTTATTTGAAGTAATTGTTGATTGTAGATTTTTTTTTTTTTTTTTGTATGTAGTAGTAGTGTAGTAGTAGAAATAACACGTTTAGTAGTTGTAGTATAGTCTAACCTTGCTTACCTCTTCGCTTAGCTTACTGCATATTCTTCCTAATTTGCTTTGCATTTACCCTACGAGTTCTACATGATTCAACGTTTCGTTATCGTGTGTGTTTCTTCTCACCCTTGTGGAATTAGGGAGGGCCTCCCCGAACGACTTCCCTTGGGCTTAGCTATTTAGTTGATCTTAAAAGTGTCTTATACACTTTTCGCGAGTCTACTCTAGCGTTACTTCCTTTCAGACAGGGTACAGTGGGTTATCTGGAATAGGAGCAATAGGCGACTGCCCAGCTTGCCTTGGCGAAATCTGTCCGATCTTCTCTACCAAAGCTATTAGTATTTGCCGTTAGTCCTGTTGATTGCACTTTTTGCTTTCAGGTAATCTACGAAGACTGAAGACATCCTCTTGTATTTTTTTTGTATTTTCTTTGAAGTTTAAATCGTATTCTTGTATTTCTCTTACAGGTATATTGCTTTTTACTGCATAAACTGTCATATTATAGTAATCGTATTTAGGTAGATGGTTAAAACCTTTTTAAAATTGATGTTTTTGAGCATATTTGTTTAAACGAAATTGAACTTTGTTAGTCATTTTAATAATTAGAAGTAATTTGGGTGGATAGGGTGGCTACAAGGGGAGATGTGGAGGCCACAGAGGGTTAGAGGGCCCTTTTCTCTCTAATCTTACGTTTAAATAATAATATGGCAGTTTTTATAATGCTTTTTATTGTATTTTCTTTAAAATTTCATTCGTCTTTCTCTTCCAGGAATTTTGTTATAACTTTTATAAATTGTTAGAAGACTGTTATTTTTTATATATTGTCTTAATGTATGTATTTGAAATAAATATCGTTTGTTGTAATGAATGTAATTTTTGTGTCTTCATAAATAAATACATTACTATTGTTTTCCTGTTTTTGTAGTGTAACAATTGTTCTTTCATTTAAAATAATGTTATCATTCCGCTTAGTATACAGTAATTTTGGTCACTATTTCTCTATTAACTTTTTGCTGTACCTATATCGGTGGCGCCATCTGTCGGTGAACTGTCGAACTACAACGTTAGTCTAAACGCCGTTAAAGGCGCTACGATCGCCATAGACACGTGACTCCCTGGCGCCCTCTTACGGCGAACGTCGGAATTAGGCCCCCTGGTGGCAAATAGCGGAACTAAATAGTTGTATCGTCGGCCGACAGATGGCGCCAGGGAGTCGCGAGTCTATGGCGATCGCAGCGCCCCTATCGGCGCTTGGTCGAACTGTATAGTTCAGCCGTTTCCTGACAGATGGCGCCAAGGAGTCCCGTGTCTGTGGCGATCGCAGCGCCTCTTTCGGCGCTTGGTCGAACTGTATAGTTCAGCCGTTTACTGACAGATGGCGCCACCGAGTCGCGAGTCTATGGCGATCGCAGCGCCTCTTTCGGCGCTTGGCCGAACTTTATAGTTCAGCCGATTACTGACAGATGGCGCGAGGAAGTTAGGTCGAGAAAAAAATTAATAGTGACCAAGATTACTATATACTAGAGTCATACGTAACTTTATTTTAAATGAAAGAACAACTGTTATACTACAAAAACAGGAAAGCAATGGTAATGTATTTATTTATGAAGACACAAAAATTACATTCATTACAACAAACGATATTTATTTCAAATACATACATTAAGACAATATCTAAAAAATAACAGTCTTCTAACAATTTATAAAAGTTATAACAAAATTCCTGGAAGAGAAAGACGAATGAAATTTTAAAGAAAATACAATAAAAAGCATTATAAAAACTGCCATATTATTATTTAAACGTAAGATTAGAGAGAAAAGGGCCCTCTAACCCTCTGTGGCCTCCACATCTCCCCTTGTAGCCACCCTATCCACCCAAATTACTTCTAATTATTAAAATGACTAACAAAGTTCAATTTCGTTTAAACAAATATGCTCAAAAACATCAATTTTAAAAAGGTTTTAACCATCTACCTAAATACGATTACTATAATATGACAGTTTATGCAGTAAAAAGCAATATACCTGTAAGAGAAATACAAGAATACGATTTAAACTTCAAAGAAAATACAAAAAAAATACAAGAGGATGTCTTCAGTCTTCGTAGATTACCTGAAAGCAAAAAGTGCAATCAACAGGACTAACGGCAAATACTAATAGCTTTGGTAGAGAAGATCGGACAGATTTCGCCAAGGCAAGCTGGGCAGTCGCCTATTGCTCCTATTCCAGATAACCCACTGTACCCTGTCTGAAAGGAAGTAACGCTAGAGTAGACTCGCGAAAAGTGTATAAGACACTTTTAAGATCAACTAAATAGCTAAGCCCAAGGGAAGTCGTTCGGGGAGGCCCTCCCTAGTTCCACAAGGGTGAGAAGGAAGACACACGATAACGAAACATTGAATCATGTAGAAGACGTAGGGTAAATGCAAAGCAATTTATAGTAAGAATATGCAGTAAGCTAAGCGAAGAGGTAAGCAAGAGACATGTTAGACTATACTACAACTACTCAATGTATTAGTAAGTACTACTACTACCCTACTACTATTACAAAAAAATAATAAAAACATCTACAATCAACAATTACTTCAAATAAAATGAACAAAAATAAGCATGCAAAATAAAAACTAAATCAAATTAACTACAAAAAACACAAAAAAACATGCAAAATAAAAAATTAACTTGAATAAAATCAACTTAATGAATTCTACCAGATAGAGCTTGCAAGATAAAGAACTATTTCAACTACGGGGTCATCTTTGTCTTCTCCAACGTCGATCTGAAACAGATACGGTGGTAACAGATTAATAAAGAGCAATTATAATTAATTATATTAAGTATTCTCACCTTAGTTAACTGTAGACTGTAACATTCCAAAGTTTGCAGGTGAGAAAAGTAAACCAAATCCAAGAGGAATATCACCGCAGAAAATTTGTTATTTCAGTGGAATTCAAATAAACCTCCAGTTGCTCTTACTCGTCGGTTGAAAATTAACTGCATAATGTTGCAAAATGAAGGCGAAAACAGCAAATCAAGAATATGAATTACAAAAGACCACACCCATGTAGACATTGGTTGTTCCAGTACGACCAAACCAAACGTCAACTTTCTCTCATTTGTTGCACGATCTGTAGAAATTGACAAAAAACATATTAATTGCACTATTAATTAAGGATGAGATTTAACAAACCTAAAAACAAGTACCAAAAACCAAGTAAAGCAGCTGAATTATAAAATGGTGACAAGTGTCAACTATGCAAATGACAGATAAATGTGAAATAATCATAGATGGATGATTTTAATTTATGATATAGACAACAGATAATTATAAACATTCCATAGATGAACGTAAACTGTAGATAAACTTTAAACAAAATACCATAGATGCTGTGGTCAATAGATCTTTAAAAGAAATACTACACATACGCCATAACGTCAATTTATACCGTCGATAATAGATAACTGTTAAAAGAAATGTCATCACAAATTAATAAAGAGCAATTAATATTAATTATGTCATGTATTCTCACCTTAATTAACTGTAGAAAGCAGCGTTCTAAAATCTACCAGTATAATGAGCAAACTAAATATAGGAGGGATGCCACAGCAGGCAATTTGTTGTTTCAGTGGCTTCCAAATTAATTTCCAATTGCCTCCCAATCTCAGGGCCAAAATTAACTGCATAATGTTGCAAGGTGAAAACATCAAAAGCATCGGTTGTTTCAGTAGCACCAATTCCTTCTAATTTGTTACAACAATCTATAGAAACGGGAAAGAAAAAGTAATTAATTAGCATTTTTAAAGTAAGTAAATCAGAAATGTTCGTACTGATGAAAAGATCAGTTCCACATTAATCCTGCTGTTTAGCATCTCCTATTTTTGAAAAATCGTTTAAAAAATGCCTATTAATGCAAATTACAAATGTCTAAGAAATTGAAGTTTCTGGGACCTCATTTAATATTTTTAATTGGTACTGTTACCTATTAGTTTATTATCGTAAATCATTTATTCAGCAACAACACACTGTCTCTATTCCTAATGGATTGCATTTTCATGATTGTTTTAGGGCCAAACATACAGCTACTTTCTGGAGCGATTGGGGACTGACACAACCATAATTTAATGGCATCTGGAGGTATTCTAATGTTCTTCTACAATGAAATCATTTTGAAATTAATTTAAACCTTCCTAGTAAATAACGTGCATAATACATTGTTAAAGTAATGCTGAACCCTATTCTCTGTTAATATCATAATAGTATGGCACGTATGCTCACCTTAATTAATTAACTATAACAGTTTCCAAGATGTAAAGCTAACAGATAAAAAACCATAGCAGAGATGCAACGCTTGTTTCAGTAGCATCAAAGTTAACTGCAATTCCTTTTCATTTGTTGGGCAATCTATAAACACGTAAGGAAAGTAATTAATTATTACTTTTAAAGCAATCAAATTGGTAAAATATGGAAATAACGAATTAACTATTGCATGGAGTAAATAAATAATGTAATAATAAAAACACTTACAAAAAGCAAGTAAATTAGTAAAATTGTTACTTTTAAAATGGCGATGTGGCGTGGCTTCTATTTCAAAACAAGATGCACCATAGCATATTTCAAACCATACATGCACATAATTATAATAAGCCAAATAAACATGTTACGCGGAAAATTTAATTTATGCGGTTAATAATTGCGAAAAATTACAATATAGTATAAATCAATCTCAATAACCTTTCATCAGCATATTATACATACTATAGATGCATAAAATACAAGTAAAACAGACATCTGTTACGGGGAAAATTTAAATATTTATTCCTTATCCCTTTTCTTCCGACTCTCAAATTAAATGTGACTATTTATGCGGAAACATTAAATAAAACAAAAACACGTAATCAAAAACAAGTAAAATGGTAAAATTTTAAAATATCTAAGAATTTTGTCAATTTAATTTATGGTGTGGATAACTGCGAAAAATTACAATATAGTATAAATCAATCTCAATAACCGTTCATCAAGATATATTATACGTAGAAAAAATACAATTAATTCTGCGAAAAAATTAGTTCGGTAAGTTGAATTTAAAAGACGCAAACAAAACATCTTGCAATTAAGAACCACTATGAACTTGTGATGAATAACTGAATAGAAGACCGAGACATTAAATAAAACAAAGACCTGCTTTAGAAATAAAATAATAAAAATCGGTTCACAATCAGCAAATAAATAGCGGAACATACACAACAAAAACAACACAGTCGAATTGAGTTCAGTACGAATAAATAAGTTATACGTAAAACCATGATTAAAAATAATCACAAACGATATTAAGTTTGGACACTTATTTTTAATTTATACGTAGTCAAAATAGAAGATTTCTTAGTTAAATAAACTCCACTAATTAATTATAGTCAATTTATCTGGTTTAGGGAACTGAAACTACACATGGCAAAAATGTTAAATTTTCACGTTCAAAAAAAGAGCACGACCAACTAAACAGAAGTAATCTAAACGTAAACGATTATAAAAACATAGATAACTTCACCATAATGTTGACTTGATGGTTTATCGCATTCCCGTGGTATTATAAAATTCGACCATATAGACAAGAAAGATTGTAGAATATACGACACACAATATCAAATCACAGGATAAATAGTTATTTAAACTTGAATTTATCTGATCTGTCGATTTTAGTTATTCAGAATTTGAAGTTTTTATAAAATTAGTAAGTATCATCTATAATTTGTAGTTATTTTGTACGTAGGTAGGTATAGACTATGTCATTTTTGGTTTTTTCAAATACATACATAAATGAAATTAATAGACACTGCATTATGTACACATATATGCATGACTATTACTTTTCCTTCCCCATATCTATCAACTTAACAGGGTCTACAGGTCCGGGGGTTGGGCTGGCGAGGGGTGTGAGTAGTTGGCCGTAGGAAGGTAAAAAAGCCAAAAAACGTGGACCGAAGAAAACACTCGAAAATAAGGAAATTCAATATATATTCAATTCTTGAAATTGCTGATATAGACTGTTTTTCAAACAACAAAAAAAATATTACAATGTTATATTCGTCTTATACAGGAACGTAAGGAAGTTTTAGTTATAAATCAGTTGTGAAAATATTGACAAGCAACTTTCATTACCATAAGGGTGGGAAATTTTCATTTTCATTTGACATAATTCAAAACCACGGCTAGTTTTTCTAATCTTGTACCAACGAAAACTGCATACCATTTTTACCAGGGTTTTATAACTAAAACTCCATTTCTTTTCATTGAAATGCAATTTAAAAACGCGGATTTTTTAAAAAAATACAGGGCTTTTTGAAAATGCTGAAATAAATTGTAGACATCTGATGCATACGAAATAAATAACTGGGAGATTTCTTAATTTTTGAAAGAAGAAGATTAAAAATTCATTACTTTGTTGTATCGTTGTTACTATACGCTAACTGAAAAAATGGATACATTACTTTTCTTCTTAATTAATCTCTATTTTTGATTAAGAAGCATCTATCGCTTTGACTAATTTTACTTTATTATGGTTTTACATTCTCATCACAATTTTCCCAAATAATGTTACCCGTTTCTTTCTGCAATTTTAACTAGAAGCAACTTCCTCTATCAGAAATCGTAAATTGTAATGTAGAGAACACCAGATGAAAATGTCCACATTAGAGAAAAATACAAAACAAAGCGAAAAAAATTCATTTACATTAACAGAGTTAGATGTCGTAAAATCATAATTACTTTCATAAACTGCTTATCTACCAAATAAAATCTGATTATTTTATTGAAATCCAAAATTTTAATTGTTTACAAGTTTCGGCTCGCACTGTAACATTGCTATCATAATTTGAATTTAAAATACGGCTGACGATTGCTCCTCCTTGATACAGGCAACCTACTTTACTGCAAAGTATTCTGAGCGCCAGGCTGCAGTAGCAGTTCTCAATTCCTTTACTTATTAAAGACTCCACATTCAAAACCAAGAATTTAAAATATTAATCATCAAGAAATAAAAACGTTTTTAAATTGGGAGTTGTGCAAATCGACGTTCTCTGTGAATTTTTGAGGCAAAGTCAGCAAAATGTAGTGGAGCTATAAACGCCAACCAGGTCTTTTTAGAAAAAAATTTGGATAAACTGAAGTTCACAACCCCAACCAAATAATAGACAATCTAATGGTATTATACAAAAAAATAACATATGCTCGTCATCCTATGCATTATGTTCTAGGGCGTCTTTTGTTAATCAAATTAACGCCACATTAATAAAATGTAATTAATATTAATTTAATGATGTAGTACAATGTTCCATTCATTGATAAGCGAAATATATATCTTCTACGATATATAATCCTTATCACTTTTCTTCTGACTCTCAAATTAAAGTCAAAATATATTCTATTAGTCTTCAAAAAAAATAAAAAATAAATTACTAAATGGTCTACCCTTAGGATTAAGTTAAGATTCACACTGCCGCAAACGACAGTTCCACATTAATTCTGTTCTTTTGCTTTTGATATTTCTGAAATGTTGTTTAAATTCTGTCTATTGAAAGTAAGTTACAAATGTCTAAAAAATTGAGGTTTTTAGGCACTCGTCTACTATTTTTAAATGTTACTTACCAATTCATTCCGTTAACAATAACACATTGTCTCCGTTCCCAATGCAAAAAAGGCATCTTCACGCTTTCTTCAGCACTACAGGAAGTGCTACTCTGCAGAGTGAAAGAGAAACCAATGTTTCGTAACATATGGCTTACCGAGTTTTCATGTTCCTGTAAAATGAAATATTATGAGGGAATATTCAGATATAATTTATTTAGCCTCTTTACAAAAAAAAACTGTAATAATACAATATTAAAGTAACGCCGAAACATTTTAAAATAAAAACATTTTTTTAATTGAGAAATAGTCAAGACGTATAAATTTTTTAGTGTTTCTTTCACAAACTAATTTTTTTAAATAATGTATTAAAACTCAGTTTTAATAAATTCTATGCCTGCTTTACTGTTATCAAATATTAATGTCTTCATGTGACATTATTATTTTTGATGACTTCAATATGTACAATTTATTAGACAAAAGGAAATCATAACATTGACAAGTCCAACCGAAATATATTTTATGGAAAAAAAAGAAAAATAAATTAAATCAAGAAGACAATTTATTAGAATTACAATTCTGTCTATATACAGATAAAAGCAAGCTACTTCTGAAAAGCTAATGCACTGTATATGGTTAACGATATCTAAACATCTTCTACATCATATTAAACCTTAAGATAGCAAGATAGTAATGATACTTTTTAATTATTTAACGAAGAAACAGTAGCTCTTCTGCTAACAAAGAATCGATAGAATTGATCACCGATGGACAAAGACTTTTTTTAATTATTACAACTCTATTATGTACATATTCATATACATAAATAAAGNTTAAATAATATTTGCGTTTTAACGGAAAACTGCGTTACATCTGAAACTATCAATTATTCACGCTCTGTCTATAATAAACCCCCTAAAATAATTATTTATATCCAAAATTGACATAAAAACTTCTTTTCTATTCTCCGAAACGTTTCTTAATGAAAAATAAAAACTAAAATCATTAAAATGATGAATTTTATTATTATTTGGGACCACCAGACAAAACGACAAAATGTTAAAAGTAAAATAAAAGTAACTACATTAGCACATCGTTTTGTTCACAAAAATTTACTAAGTAGGTAGTTATTAAGGTTCAACTTTAATTAAAAGTAACATTATAACACTTGTAAGTGTTTACTAGAGCAAAAAAGAAGCGAAACTTAAAATTTAATAGCACACAAATATACTTTTGATACTTATTACAAATAATCCTTTTACAATGACGAAAAAAGTATACTAGATAAAATTAATAATCATTAAGCATTTTCATTTTAACTTATAAATTAACAGATTGTCACTTACCCTTGTTGTTGTTTCTGCGTCTAGTGAACAAAAGGATACTGCTCCATGCTGGGTGAAACGCGAACTGTTCCAATCACAGACCAACTACACATGAAATTCAAAGCTTGTGTAATATTTCTGTTAAACAATCAAAACAATATTTAAATATATAATTAACTAAGGCTCGATAGCAAATAATGTAATAACAGAACGTTAAAATGTAAATGCATAAGTGAGTTCCTTTGTGGTGATATGAGTACCTATACAATAGTTGACTAATTGTAATACGGCATTTTTAATCGACTTATTAACATTCAAAGGTATTACATTGATACTGTCACTTACACTGAGTAAGATCTTTTTGCATTAACAATATTAAATTCAACACAAGCACCTATTACAAATGAATAAAAGGTCAAATTTATAATCTAAATAATTATTATTGTTTTTTTAATAGTTGCCATTTCACCAAACTGTTTAATTTGAAATTAAAAAGGCACGAAACGGTGCATCGTTCTACAAAACTTTTTTTTGATTTTCTTGTATGAACCCATCATACCCATTATAAATGATTTTTTCTATGTATTTTCAGTTTAATTACCTACATAATGTCCTAAGGTAAAGAAGTCTTACGAGAAAGATACCATCTTATCACAAGCCAAACTGTACTGAAAAGAACAACAAAAACCCATTAAATACACTGTTAACTTAACAAGATACAATAACAGAAAAAAACCAAGCAATACCTAAAATAGTTGCAAATTAGTCCATTTGACTGCAAAAGAAAAATCATTCAACAAATTTAAACCTTACCTTTTGATATAATTTGTTTGTATCCATACTGATGACAGGCTTAGTCATCAGCATACAAATTTTCGTATCTCCAGAATTCACTTCGGGTTTTATAACCATAACAAACACTGATAGAAAGAAGATAGGTGAAAGGTGTTTTAAACAATTTTCTTTGTAATAACCATAGATAATAGATATACAAAGGGTAATAACCATTTTACAGGCATATAACCAATGGGAATTTTACAGTCACTTATCATAGATAACAATCCTTATTCAACCGTTTCTGACTTCGCTTCTACAGTTCAAGTTGCATTCGCTTAAAAAGTGATATCGGCTCAACAGTCGTATATGCAATATAAATAGATACAAATTGTTCCCATCCGAGGAAGATACAGATATAATGTATGTATATAAAATAGGGAAAGGATGCACCGTTCCTAACCTTACGTTAATTTGTGTTGTTACGTTGAGTAGGTTAGAGTAAGGTATGTAACAGTATCTCCTTTCCCCTATTTTATATACTTACGTTATACTCGTGCCTTCTTCGAATAAGAACAATTTGGATTTATTTATATTATATAAACGACTGTCGAGCAGATCACTTTTTAAGCGAATGCAACTTAAACTATAGTGAAGTAGTCGGAACGGCTGAGTGGTAACTGTTATCTATGATAAGTAACTGTGAAAATCCGGTAGGTTACATACTTGTAAAATATTTATTTGCAAAGAAATTTGTTTAAAACATCTTCCTTTTTTTCAGCTAAGTTTCTTATAATTAGACCTTTTTCAACTAAAAAAGCAGTACTACAGGAGTTTAACCGTTAACAGCAATTGCCAAAATGAACTATTAATAACTGAAGTGTAATCTAAAAAGTTCCCCAAATAAAATGCAAATTCATTTTTCATATTCATCATAGAACACCCATATAAGCAAATATCCTTAATCTTTAATTAATACTTACTTTATACTTTATACAATGCAAATAATAATGAATATATATGAAAATGGTGTACATTAAAAATTACGTTTACGGTTCAAAAGGGTTTAAGTTTTTATCGTACTGATCGCTAAATGGATTTGTTTCATCAAATTCATCATCGGTAAATGGATTTTTACTATCATCATAGTCATCTTCAAATGGATTCTTTCCTATAACTTGCGAATCACTTTCAGACTTCTTACTAGATGACCCTCGAGTGCCATATTTTGTTATATTCGCTTCCAAAGACTGACTATACTGATGCTCCTGCAGTCTCATTTTTCCTTCAGAAGTGGAAATAATTTTAGGTGTATTCCTAATATTTTCTGATAGCCTGATACGAGCTTCCGCGCTAGGCCCATAATTGGATTTAGCAGATTCTTCAATTCTATTTCCAGCTTTTAAAACATTATACTGATTATAACCATCATATTTTTTAGCTCGCGATAATATTTTTTCTGTTTCATCATCTGTAATCACTGTTATTTTATTGAAAACGCTACGTCCAAAATATTCGGCAGCCAGTGAGAATCCATCGCTAGCCTTCTCTAACTGGGAATGGAATGTTTCATGCAAATCCTTATTATATTCTCTCGATTTCAATAGTTCAATTAACTTTTTATTTTCTGGTAAACAAGCGGGACATTCATTCTCATTTTCTGCGAAACTCTGAAAACAATGATGATGAAAGCTGTGCTGACAAAGAAAATGCAAACTTGGTAGTTCCAATTGATGGTGACATGCAGCACATCTAGATCCCTGAATAACCACCACTCCATTTTTTAAAGTCTCTACTTGCTGTTTTAACTTTTCTATATCTGTTTGATATTTGTCAATTAATTCAGTATTATTTTCAATTATATCGTGCTCTTTTTGCAGTTCATTGGTAATATAGGAACGAATATGACCCAAAGTAACATCTGACTTTGCAATTCCAATTGCCTCTATCACTTGCTGAGGAGATAGAAGGCGTTCTTTCGCTATGACTGTTAAAATCTAAATAGGAAAAAATCTCAATAACAAATAATTATCAAACATTATATGAAATTTATTTAATTTCATCCCACTTGGTCAAGTTAATGACAACAACAACAAAAGAATTTTACCTCATTAACTTCAGGTAATCTGTAGTGGGATGAAATTAAGTAGATTTCACATAATGTTTGACAATTATTAAAATATTAACCACTACTAAAAGTAATTAATTAAAATCTTAATGTTTGATATATAATAACATATAATCAAACAAGAGATGCTATATTGCACATACCTCTGGTAAAATGTCAATTAGAGGACTATTAGACTCCCTTACGCAAGACCAAAGAGCCTGAACCCAAAGAGACGGTTCCTGATGACCAAATCTTCTACAACAGGCTAAGACTGCACTTTCGTCTCCTTTAGAAACGTGATACCTATAAAATTCAGTGTCGAACCATTCAAAGCAATGCCCCAGAATTTATTAACTGACCTTAATATTTGCGGATATAATTTTTGCTCCTCATATAAATAAAATATCCCTTCGCTAAATCCATGCATATGACAAACAACAAGGGCCTGAGGTTTGTCATATTTAACTTCCAATGTCTGAAGGAGTTTCAAAATTTTCTGTGTATACTTTGCCTTTTCAGGGCCTGCTTCGAGGGCGCTCCACACATGCAAGTAATGCTCTATAAGGGTATCATAAACAGGGCTACTCAAAACACAACCCTCAGATATAAGGTACTCCAAAAACTCAACAAGTCTTTCGGAATTGTTTAAAAATAAATGAATGTAATCTTCGGCATCAGCATTTTGATTTAATTCTGTTATCCCATTTAAAATGCCATCAGTTTTATCAACGGGTCTATAATTAGTACACAATCTCTTTAAGAACTGCGTACTTTCGTGCGGTTCTTTTTCTATTAAAATATTACCATATTTTTTCATAAAATTCTCCGCATTTTGAAAATCTAAACGGGAAATATACTGCAGTGCTTCTATGTACTTTTCATGATCTTCAATCTGTATTTTTATGTACCAATCGTGCTTGGCATGCTTCTTTGCCAGCATTAAAGCCTCCTCGGGGCTCCCGTACCTACACACCTTTATAGCAATTTCTACATCAAAATCGAGATCATTATCCTTAGTAAGAATAAATTCCTTAAGACTGTCTGTGTTATTTAATTTTGTATAACAGTTTAACAAAAGTGTTGTATGATCTTCTGGTGCTTGGCCCTGTTTGTGCAAAGCCTGCAGGTAAGTTGTGAGGTATTCAATATGTTGTGAGTCCAAAAATTTACGAATGACATAACTCGGTTCCAAACGACCTATTGTCTTAATATATTGTTCAATTGCAGCTAAAAGTTAAAGATTGCAGTAATTCCTAATTATAAGAATTCCAAAAATTTACCCTCATACCCCCCTTTGGCGTACAAATGATCACCATACTGCCTATATATGTCAACAAGACCATACGAATCGTATTGTTGGGATTTGGCGATTCTAATAGCTAAATCATAAAGATTTTTTTTAAACAGAAGTGCAAGTTTGGATTGCAAATCTTTTTCGTCTAAATGATAAACGTTGTTATTGTAGTCTATAATATAGAATGAACCCCATTCACTGAATACAGTCCTGACCTTTTCCATTACAGATGAGAAGACGATAAATTTGTTGTGTATATCCAGAACAGTTATTAAGTGACCTTGTGATGTCGGCTGTGAAGAACTACCGGCAACAGCTTGAGTTATGGGACGATTTGTTGTAGAAACGATCACTAAATAGTTACGAAACCATTCTAAAAGAACTTTTTCACCATCTACAGCATAACATGGACCTTTACCATCAATTGTATAGCAATATATTGCCTAATAATAAAACACCAAATATATACTAATGTCAATTAAAAGATATAAAACTTACGTTATTTCTTCCTATCATAAACAAATTCTCATACACAGCTAGGACACTGCAATTTTTAGCACAGCCCATATTATCTAAAGAAATCTAATAAATAAATTAGCTAAACCTATTTTTTTCATACAAATTCATAATGCCTTACTTTATGTTCTTTATCTTTATGTGTTATGTTGTACATATAAACTGATGATTCTGTTGCTACAAATAAAAATACTGCTGGACCTAAAGCTTGAAATGCAAGCCCTGTAATGGCACAGCTCGCCACACGAAAAACTTTCTGTTTACTTCCACGATCGCGAGTTATCTCTCCCCTGAATAAAGTTTTAAATAATTGATGGTTTTATAAAACCAATTAACTATTACCTGTATAAATTCAAAGATCCATCCATGAAACCAATGGCCATTAGTTGAAGTTCTTCATGTACACACAATGTAGTTACTGCAACAGGATTAACACCAGGAATTGCTCTTGAAACTCGACAACAATATGGAATGCCATTTTTGTCAAAACGAGTTGTATTCCATACCTTAATTAAAGGATTAATTCCTACATCATCATCCTAAAAGAAGATTTTACTACTTTCATCAACACCAAGATGATAATTTGAAATCTTACACCAACTGTCACTAAAAGGGGTGAACTTCTTAACTGCTTAGCTAAAGAAACTTTAAATTCATAAGCTCTAAAAGTAGTGACTTGCCAAAATCGTGTTATTATATGAATTTGGCCACATGAATCGCCAAGAACGGCTTGATTGTTTCCACTAGTAGCCACTGTTATATCACACTCCTAGAAATAATTTCCATATATTAACAACTAATGAGGATTTAAATTACATACCTTGTATAAACTTGCTATTCGACCATCATCTACGTTGGCTTTTAAATCAAAAAAGTTAAATTTTCGCCACTAAAACAAAACAAGATTTAATATCTCTTTTCTGTCTAAATATCAGACTAATAACCTCTAAAAATGCCATGGTAGAGTTAAATATATAATACACCTCTGCTATTCATTTAGTTATTCAACAATTAATATAATCAAGTAATAATTATCAATAATAAATTAATATAGTACAGACAATAATAATACAAGATGCACCATAAATACACTTGCACCACAGATAACTTGCACTAAACTCATAGATAATAGACTAAACCACACCAGACCCATAGACAAACTAAATCATAGAACTAAATCCAACTATGATCCAAATTCAACCTCTCTAAAACCATCCATAGACAAAACGTCAACGTCATAGATTAAAGAAATATATACTGTTAATCAAAATCATGTCAAAATGTAGTTGTAATTCCCATTACCTCTAAAATTAACATAAGACTATTAGGACTAAAAATAATTAGGATCGGAATCTTATTACACTATTGATTCAAGCAAAATGCAATCCTTGAAGTTCACAAGGCCAATTTTCCAGTATAAAGTCGATGTTTTTTAAAAAATCCCCAAACTATTTTTTTAGCAGTCTTCGTTTAAACGATTCTATTAAAAGTCGGTATCATTTTTTATTCACATAGTTCATACGATAACGTGAAGGAAAAACAATGTTTCAGTACGCATGCGAAAGTGTACACGCACTCTTTCTAAACTGCATTTTTAGCAAATAATCGCATTTTCCTATTCTGTATCTGTAAAATCAAGTCCCACCGAAATATATTTTATGGAAAAAAAAGAAAAATAAATTAAATCAAGAAGACAATTTATTAGAATTACAATTCTGTCTATATACAGATAAAAGCAAGCTACTTCTGAAAAGCTAATGCACTGTATATGGTTAACGATATCTAAACATCTTCTACATCATATTAAACCTTAAGATAGCAAGATAGTAATGATACTTTTTAATTATTTAACGAAGAAACAGTAGCTCTTCTGCTAACAAAGAATCGATAGAATTGATCACCGATGGACAAAGACTTTTTTTAATTATTACAACTCTATTATGTACATATTCATATACATAAATAAAGTCGTCTATCGTGAAGGGTCATCGGCAAGACTTAGTAGGTCCGATGACCAAAAGGGGATGATATTACATAAAGAAATGGCGCGAGTAAATCGCGAGGACCCCGGACGTGTGTGAAACTAATAGAGAAAAATTTTCGAGCACTTAAGAACTTTTGAAATAGCTAAAACGCAGCGTGGAAAATACGCAGGGGCCCCCTCACCCTCATAGGTTAAAGGTGAGCTTGCTCGCACTACGTTTTACTAATTTCAAAAGCCTAACCTAACCTAACCTCACGAGATTTTGTTTCGCCACCACGAGTACAGCTCAAGTGGCGACGCAAAATCGGTAAAGTAATGTGACGGAAACGAGTAAATGAAAGCGTTAGTACAAAAAATACAATTGCAGACACAGTTATCGTGAAAAATTACGGAAAATTTCATCAAGTGTTTCGAACGTTTATGAACGACGAAAGTTTTCGAGATGCAATCGGCCCTCTCGAAATTATAAAAACTTGATAAAATTAACTCTAATAATTTAAGAAACGTTTTTAAATGGATTAGAAAAGACATGATAAGGTAGACATAGAGTGGAAAATATTGTAGATTTGTGAAAAATTCTTCGAAATAAAATAGTTTCATGAATAACACAGCATGATGAAAAATGCAACTGATGGAAGAGGAAGGGATACTAGGGTTTACGTCGAGATTCTGAGTAGCGGAAATAGTACGATAAAGCGAAGAATGAGAGACACAGGATGTGTGGTGACTTTGAGAACCATGAATGTTATTGTTAAAAGAGGAAAGGGAATAAGAGAATATCTTCTGGCACTGGGAAAGAGGAAAGATGTAGTAAAAGAAGGAAGGGGTTAAAGAGGAAGAGAAAGGGGTAAGGGTAGCTGCGCAAAAGCACAGCTCCACCTGACACCCTCAGCTCGGGAATTTAGAATAGAACGCATAAGTAAGATCGTAATTTTTAAAGCAAATGTGCTGCATGTCCCTTCGAGTCCAACTTCCTATCTCAGTTAAATTTTGGATTTCTTTAGGTGCTCCCACAGCCGCTGACGTCTGAGACAAAATAATTAGTTACTTTTCGAAAAAATTCTCAATAAAACATCAAAATTACCTTGTTGGTAAAAACAGTGACCATAAACTTTCCCGGCTGAAAAGTTTCAATCACTTTATTAACAATCTCACGATAAGATGTTGCAGTAATGTTAGTTTCGAAACTAACGTAAGAAAATTCCGGCTCTGGTGTTATATGAATAGTCATGTAGCATCCCTGCATTAAAAATTAATGAATAAGTACAATTAACATAAAATAAAAATATGTAACTTACATCCGGTTGATTCTGCATTTACGAACGCAAAAAATCGAATAAACAATTAAAAAAATTGCAACAATTAAATTCATGCGAGTTGTTAAATAATAATGAATTTGAACATTACCTAAACAATGTAGAGGTACTTTTTTGTATGTCACGACTACAAAAACTTGAAAAGTTACACATATTAAATGCACACGTTGAAGAAGTAGGAAGCAAGTTATTAAAATAAAAAATTAAAAACTCATAATGATACCCTACCGTGCCCCCATTGAATGTAATGTAAGGAAAAAAAGACAATAATATCAACTTACACTTTTAGTAACCCCGTTCATGGAGTACCCACAAGGTTCAAACAGGTAATCGTCAATTACCATATTAGGTACTATTTTATCGATTCCTGATTTCTGAAAACGCATCGTTTATTACATTCCGATAATTATTTCTTTTTATTTAGAATTTATCTGTCACCTTAGTCGCTTCCGCGGCGTTCAAACATTCCTCTCTAGTAAAAATTGACATTACATCAGGATCTAGATCAGTCATCAAAATTTCCAAAGTTTGATCGGGGTCAGGTTCAGTTTCCGAACTCAAAGCATTAGTTCTTGGAGGGTTTAGAGTATATAAATACCAGCAATCACGATTCATCGATCCTAAACAGTATGCGGAACCATGGGGAAAGATGGCATCTAATAGAGTCACCTGTTGATTGATTACAACATTTAAAATTACACAGCGTGATAAACAATTTCATATTTCATTTTCTAATACAATATAGCGTGTTTGTGTTTAATACAAAACAATATCGCCTTACTTTTTATAGTTGCAAAATAATAGTTTAAATTACTTCTAGTATAGACATAATAAATTTTAAACCGTAGGCGCGTGTGTAATATTAAAATAATCAGTGGATTAGATAGATTTTTCTAGTTAAATTTATATTGCGTCTGTTTTTTCCATTTAAAAAGATTTATTTTAGTTCAAATTACATAATGCCAGGCAGAATCCCACACGCAATTTTGTAATGTTTATAACTTAAGCGTTTATCATAAAACATTATCAAATATTAATGTCTTCATGTGACATTATTATTTTTGATGACTTCAATATGTACAATTTATTAGACAAAAGGAAATCATAACATTGACAACTATAAGTTATACTGTACGTAACATAACTTAATAATTTACAAATATTGCACTAATAAACGAATCAAAAGATACAGGTCAAATTACAATTTTTCTTGTACCTATGCGTCCACATTATTTTAAAAATTTAAATAAAAAATTATTTAAAACACTTGTTAGTTTCATACCTACAGCGACTTGGTCAACTTTTAGATGCATTAAAAAGCCTCCGCGCACTGGCAACTTCTTTGAGACCACTTTTTAATCACAGAAATGGAACATACTAATTCAAATGTAAAAAAGAAAGTTTTTTTTTGGGTTCATTCAATATAAAACCCAAGACTTAGGTGAACAATTTTAGTTTACCGGTTTAAGAGAGCAATTTTTTAATTATTTTTGTATGAGTATTGCTATGTTTGGCATCTTTTTGAAAGTACTTTGAAAAAGATATATTTATAATGCAGTCTGTACATCTTTTCTGATTGCATTGTACTGAAGTGTGGTATCAAATTAATTAAATGATCGCTGGTGTACGGAGATCGGAGACAGATTTGATTTATTATACATATAAATAATACGTTCAATCTGACTAAAAAGTTGAATAAATAATTAAACAATAATACAAATGTTCCATCAAAGCCAATAGATAAAACAATCTTATTTACCAAAAAATTGCGGTAAAGGTCTAGATGATGGCCCCCACCACCTTCGGGGGTGGGGATGGAAGGGATCGAAGAAGGAGATCTCCCCCACCACTGTACCGTAAAAAGTTCGTGGCAGTCTCACCCCCATAAAAAGTTATAGGGGTTCAAAATTAATAAATATGCCAATTTTTATACATTCCTAGGCATGTAAATATTTATATCGTCATTCTTAAACAATATTCAAAGGTAAAACTAATGAAAAATACATAAAGATATTGAGAAAGTTATATAAAACATTATTGACTTCCAGTAGTCCTAAGCT